TTGGATTGTTTGAAATGTGCCGTGGTAAGTGGGGTGAAGGAAGTCGCAGCATGATCTCAGAGAAGCCGAGGGAAAAAAGCAACATGGAAAAAACTTTTACAGATGGGGCCCACCTAACTATAATTGCTCATTACAGGTGAATGTGAACAGGATGAGGAGGTGGTAGGAAGAGATGGTGTTAATTTAATGCACTACAAACTGTCAGGATTTGGCCACGGTAATGCAGGAGTTTTTTCAGAGCGTGTGTTTCCTTTTTTTGCATTGGAGGGAAAAGGCGTCAGCGAATGAAGGTAACTGGATGTGACGGCAGACAATTTATGTTGTTATGTCTTAATTGTCACCTGATGTGCATGCAATCTGGAACACTGACAAAAAAAGACACTTCCTCTCAGCGGACTACTAGGATGAGGTGCGAAGAGAAACAAGTTTGATGTGATGAAACCCACAGTGACATGGATTTGACTAATTTAAGCCTGATAACCAAGTCTGAGCGTGATGTCTGTCTGTCTGCGACTCAACAATCAATGGACTTCTTATTTCATGTCACTAAAATTTAGCTCTATAAACCATATGCCACCTAGACAACAGGATCATGCTATTCACGACACCTCCCCATCTCACACACTCACACAAATACCTGCATACACACACGGATCTTGATGCAGAGTCCAATTAAACTGCTTTAATAGAAATCACTACTGTACCAATGATTTTAGCCCATAAAAACTGTCATAAAAAAAAAAAACGGTCAATTAGTCGAGAGCTGAAATAGCTGTCAGTTTTAATCACTCTTTGCCTGTTGTTTCCCCACTCCACTTTCACTTCCAACATTGTGATATCTGTCAAGTGTGATGGTCTTCGTAAAAGTAATTACACAAAGCTCAGTATAATCATCATTATATAAATCATGATATAAACATCCATATGGTCTGCCTCCCATTAGGTACATATAAAGCTGCATATTAAACGCCAGGAACAAAGCATTTGAAGTCTTATCTCGGAAATGTTTTGCCAGAGTTTTTCATTAGAAATCACTACAGAGTCTGTAACTAACAGAGTCTGCGCAGGCTGCTGCCTGCATCTAACAGACGTGCATGAAATGGTCAAGATCAAGATCAACCCAAGAGAACTAAAAGCCAAGAAATGCACCTGTCTAGTTAGGAAGAACATTTATTTAATTGAATTGGCATTTTACATGTGAGATTTACAAAACGTAACGTATTTACATAATGTAATAAAACACATTTGGACATTATTTTGGACTGTTATTAGAAGGATCTTACTTATTAAAGTTACTACTAAAGTTCCTGGATGTCCTTTCACAACTCACCATTGTATAACGTATGAAATAATAACACCTTTATTATTTGTTAATCATGTTTGTAACTATTGCCTAATGCTTCCAATGACATTATTACTACACTCTAAACTGTGAATGAATGATCCATTTTCATTCACTGCTTGAAGTATGATCTGATATTGATATTTACAGTTTTTTTCCCTCTTTTGTTGTTTTTGTTTTGTCTCTATGCTTTTGTTTGTTTTTGTCAAATTTGCTTTAAAGGTTTGCTGTTATCTTTGTGAATTTTGTTTTGTGTAATTGTATATAAGGTACTCAAGGGGTTGAATGTTAAAAATTAAAAATAATCTACTGAAAGTCCCTACAATGTACTTTCATTTTGTGTTGATTCTGGCGGCACCTGTGGACAAAAGTGATTCTACCACCTTGTTTCACTGATTTCAAGGGACACCAAATCCAACCCGGTGGCAGGCATTAAGAATATCTACAGCCAGCATTTGGTTTATTCCCCTCAGGGCTACTGTGGAAACATGGTGGTTCGACTTGGTGGAGTCCATAGGAGAGGAACAGCTCCCTCTGTAGATTCAAACAGCTCATTCTAAGGTAACTTAGACTGTTTAAATTAGCTTAAAAATCTTCCTTAAATTGAAGCAAAAGAAAACGTAAGAGAAACAGTTTATTTTAAATTTTTGTAACTTAACAGCTATGTCATAAAAGTGAGATGAGCCAATGTGATCGTCGCACTTTAAGCTCCACCCAGGTTCCACCTACAGGTATTTTATTCCATCTCTTCATCCTGCTCTAGAGCTTTTTCCAGATTGTGCTGTTCTGAGCTGTGCTTATGCCCCAGGTCAACAACAGTTAAAACGTGATTTGGTTACAACCCTGTGGGCTTGTGATCCAAAATTATACTTTACAATAAAAACTGTGGGTTATCTTCCTGATACATTATCACAAATTGCCTTCACTAATCAGCACACACACACAAAAAAAAATACAAAACACAAACACACACTAAATCTGCTCTCTAGTATGATTTATAATCTGATTCTGACCTGTGGGCACATGACAGTTGCTTTCATTTTCTTCTATATATTTTCCCTTCATCGCCAAGGTCATTGGTGAGCAAACCCCTCTCCAAGTTTTTCCAGCACCCTCCTCTTTCGTCCTCCCTCCCTCTCTCCTCCTCGCCCTGATGGCCCCATGAATCATCCCGTCTTCCCCATCGAACTCTCCAACGCCTCCTTCCCACCACAGCCACCCCAACTTCCCCAATCCTTCTTCATTCCCGCTAACAATTTGGTAATGAAATATTGATTTTTAGTTAGATTCAAATGGAAGTTATTAACTTTGCATTGATAAATCACTCCCCTCTCTTTCTTCTTCGTCTCTCCCTCTCTCTGTTTTGGATAGAGTGCTGGTAGTAACACCTGATTCACAATAAAGCATGGAGGCCTGATTTGCCACATGACCTACAGTGCTCCTTTTGGAGGCCACTCCATGTTTTCCCCCTATTACATACACCCCCTTTATTCACACATAAACACAGTATCCTTGCATTAAAAGCTGTGAATATACACTGATTACCTACTGTGGTCAATGACAGTGGCTCATACCATATTTTATTGAATATTGTGAACTCAGATGAAGTGCCCTTTTCAGAGTTAGTCATGCATGACATAGCAATGCTCAAGGCAAATATGATTACTCTATCAGTAAACAATGAAATGTTTTAAAGAGGTGAGGCGGTCTTGGCAGTCCTGATCATTTAGAAAAAAAATTGTTATGCTATAAGAAAAAGCACAAACACTGAAGGTTAGACTTATTTACGGGTAACGATAGTGTAGGCGGAGTTGCCATGGGAGTACCGAGAGGTTTCCTGGTGGATTGCTACACAAACTGGGTTGACGCAATTGTAAAAGAAAAAAAAAAAGAAAAACAACAAGCGCACAAACTACACAAAACCACAACACTACATAAAGTGACAGAAAAAGAGAAAGAGAAATTAGGAGGATCTATTGGCAGAAATGGAATATAATAATCATAGATATGCTTTCATTAGTGTATAATCACCTGATTCATTGTGTTTTCCTTAGAATTAACCGTTTTTATCTACAGACACCGCATGTTGCTTTCCATGGCCATTTTGAACCACCATGTTTCTACAGAAGCCCAGAGTGGAACACTGACACTAGATATTATATACATTTTCCGTCTGTCTAGGATACCTTTGGTTTTAGTAAACAATAAAGAGGCTTGAAATATACTTGAAGTATGGCTGCAACAAACGTTTTTTTTCCCAATAAAATCAGGATTGCAGCTCAAATTCAAGGCAGTAGATGCATATAACTAGGGCTGAAGCTCCAGTCATTTGCATTGACAATTCATCTGCAAGTTATTTTCTCTATGAAGCATTTGATATATCAGATTTCATTAAATATTGAAAAATGTCTGTCACAGTCGCCAGAGTCCAAGGTGATGTTGTCAAACGCCTTGTTTTGTCCAACCAACAGTCCAAACCCCAAACATATTCAGTTTATTATCATAAACTATCTAATTATCATAAATTCAGTTTATTATCATAAACTGAATCCCAGCAACCGGCCCACGAATGTACTGTGTTTTGAAATGGCAAACATCCATGCAAATGAAGGCACAAACAGTATTTATGAAAACAGGTTTAAGTGGCATACCAAAACAAACACAAAACAGTGCAAAAGCACTCTAAGTAAAACAAAAAACAAAAGAAAAGTTTTTAGGGTGGAAGAACCCCTTTCTAATTTACAGATTAGCATCCATATAGCAAAGGGCTTTGGTTTACTGGCATCAGGTTGGCATCCTCTGGACAATGCTCTGGCAGGTCTGGAAATTGAAAGGGTAAGGTGAACCAGCTACTGTATTATGATGACCAGGCATATGATGGGCCATAATGACTAAGTTGTGCATGATAGATTACCACGTGATGCTTCTCATGAAAGGCAAGATGTCTATTGACGAGAAGCGCCCTTTATTGATTGTCACATAGTACTGTGATGAGTTTAAGTTGCCAGAGATGGCACACTATCATATAACACTAATGACATATCAAACTATGAGAAAGAGGGAGGACAGGGGTTTGCAAACCATTGGCCTTCATAGTATCCCCAAAACCCATGGATAGATCCTTGAAAAGCTTCATTGACTGAGAGGAATGCACATGCTCATCATCCAGTGATTGGGCAGAGTCCAAAATTGGAAGTCAGAGTGACACCCTTCATCGTCGAGTGATATGATTATGCAAATTGGGCATGGGAGACTTTACATCCAACAGTCAAGAGATGAATGAGCACCCCTGAAGAATGACACACATGGCCAAGTGTGTCATTCTGTGCGGGGGGACACAGAGAGAGCAGACACAATGTTTGGACAGAGATGAGCATGAGTTATCATGTGGGGGATTTATCAGAAGGAAATCATCCAGCAGATGGAGAACAGAAGGAGCCCCAACTTTGTTAAGCAGAATTCAGTAAAGCCCCTCGGAAACTAGGTTAAATATGCATGAGCTGTTCTTGCAGCTGAACGTCAGGCGTACCTCAAAATAAAATTTGGGATCACACTTGATGCCAAAAAGATGCCACTGAGAAGGGTGGACTGGAACTATTTTAAATAGTTATGTCAGCCTTGGAGAGCCATGCATGGAGGGATGAAACATGCAGTTGGGGCACTAAGAAGGGACCAGTTGAAGCAGATATATCTTGATCAGGAAATAGCGAATCACAGAGGGCTGCTTGATCCACCAGCTTGCAAAGCTGGAAGAGAGGGAGGCTTGGAGCTTGAGTGATGCCATGATCTTTAGGCTGGAACAGGAAGGAAATCTGGCTCGCCTGTAAGGGGACCATCACGCAGAGCTAGGCAAGCACTCTGCCGACCGTCCAAGGAGGTGGTTGCGGTCTCCAGCAGATTATCAATGCCATGGTTGGGATCCTTGTGGAGAGTATCATGGTCTGGATCAGACATCAGCTTTGCTACCAACACCAAGACACTGTAAAAGGATGCTATACTGAGGGCTACACAGACAGGACAAGGCCAAGAAGTTTGGGATTTAACATGGCAGCACACAGATGTTGGATCAGATTTAACAATTCTGCTGTACTTGTATCAAAAACACTTTGTGCTGACTGAGTTAAATGTCCTATAAAGTTCAGAGGATTACAGTACACTATTCACAACTGAGGAGGCTAACAACCCAGCCAAAAGGGGAAAAACACTGAATCATCCATGGATACCGACGACCTAAATACCACAGACATACAGGTCAGTGTCCTTGAATCAATAAAAAACACTGGATGTTCTTTGCATACTACACCAGGAAATTAAAAGACTTGTGATCAAGACTGGAATGCACACACCAACAATTCAGAAATCTCCAAATTAAAAATTAAGAGCTCTGAACCTCTGTAGAACTACCCAGAAGGACACAATCCAAAAAGAAAACAAAACACTGAAAGAGACAATATTTGATACTCTAATAAGCATATGAGACAACCCTGAAACCCTTATCAGAACCTTTATGCACTCAGCTACACTGGTTGTGGATAGACTCTACACTAAGGGGCAGCTGTTCTCCTCAATCACACCCTGGCTCCTAGGATAGTATGCGCATGATTGTACAATGTTATTCACTGAAGGAAAACAAAAATCTCACAGTGGATAAAAAACTGTTCACCTCTCATCAAATCCCCCCCCCCCTTGAAAAGCAAATAGCCTTTCTCTCTAACTCACTCTTACACTCTCTCTCTCTCTCTTTCACACA